TCTTGCAGACAGATTAGATCATATTTTTGCTTAACCAGAATATGTTCCACCTTGTTCCTTTTTGATTTTTCATTTAAACCATTTACGTTCCAAGTAATAAATTTATAATCCATACTTTATTTCTTATAATACATCAACGGGTTAAAAAAAATTTAAAAAATTACACATTCAAGGTCTCAGTATACATTTAATAAATTCCCTTCTTAGATCTGTCTCCTAACTCTCAACTGTTTGTTCAATTTCCTCTGATTCTCCCAACAATGGCCTTTTTCCTCCAAGGTCTTTCCGGTACTTTCTCCAGAACTTGTCTGCATCTAATGCCGACAAGCACTTTCTACGTTTCCCTTTAAAGAAAAAAGAGATGGTTTCTGGGTACTCCCACCTATAGTCCGCTGCCTTTGCCTTTAGTGCCTCGGCCAGAGGTCTATAAGCTTCTCTCTTTTTTATCAACCGATTTGGAATAATCTTGTGGACGATAATATCATTTCCTTCCGATTGAAATTTCTTCTTGTTACTAGCTTGTAAAATTCTATTTCTGAAATCCATAGAATTAAAACTAAACAATCAGCCGGCCAGTTGTTTGCTTTTGCTACATTAGATTTGACTCTGAATGCTTTTTCTATTTTTTTGTGCTACTTCTGCTTCTTCTAGGTCTAATCAAGCTGCTAGCTCTTTTGAGATTTTTTTCTCAATTATTTCCTCTGCATCCTCTGTTAGTCCTCTGAATCTTAGGGTATTCTCCCTTCTCTGCATTTGCAACATCGCAATAGAGTCCAAAGTTGAATCCTGCTGTGCTTTCAGATCTGCTGTTTCTTTCCTTATCTTATCGCATTCCCTTTTCAACTTTCTATTTTCATTTTGCATTTTTTTCTGAGCTTCCTCTAGGTTCTGTGTTTTACCTTTAAGGTCTAGCACTATTTTCATCAGTTCTGAATTTTTTTGTACTAAATTGTTGACCTGAGTTGATAACTCAGCTGCTATTTTCACATTTTCATCTATTTTAACTCCCATTGAAATAAGGTTTCTTCTATTGCTTTTGCCTTTTCATTTACATTATTTTTAAATCTTGGATATCTTTCTTCAAACTTAAAATTAATTCTCTCATATCTAGTAGTTGATCCATGTCAATTACAGAAGTTTGTGAGGCTGAAACTGCCGCAGAACCTGACACAGTTGTTTTTTTACCATACATCACTAAGAAATTCAGTTAGCTCACTAGGTAATTTGTTCTCTTTCCTTCTGTCTTACAGATTGGATATCAATTAAGTTCAATCTTTCTTAATACAATCGTGTCAATATTCCAATGTGATAATTAATGAATGTCAATTAAGTTCAATCTTTCTTAATACAATCACGGCAATTTTACCAGTCTGATAGTAATCTCTGGCCTATGTATCCACTAATTTTTTATATTCCCAGTTTCACTAAATATATTTTAAATTGATTATGAACAATTATCTAATTAGTTACAGCCAAGCATCAATACAGCAATATCACAAATTCATCAGATCAAATAAATATAATAAATGATTGCAATCCTTGCGTTCACTTAATCATTCAGGGTAATAGATCATATATATAAATCTTTAAACAGGTTAGCGGTTCAGTTAATTACCCTTTTTGAAGGGAGGGCAGGACTAGGTTTCCTTTTAACAGTCAACTCAATAAGCTCTCCCAAAATATAAAATATATAAATAAACTCTTAAGCCATTAAAATGGTGCTCCCGCCAAAACAAGATGGCAGCACAAGATGGCGCTCCCGTCAAAATAAGCTGGGCGAAATGGCTGCCAGCCCCAGGAATTTCCCCAACCAGCCTTAAGCCAATTTGGAGCGGGGTATAGAATTCACCAAGCTTACAGAGAGGGAACTCTCAAAAGCTGAAACAGCAAACAAAACAACAACTATAACTCAAATTCTTTCTCCCCACTAAAACTCAATTCAAGGCTCTTTAAAATAAAGACATGGCTGTAACTGCTCAAAATTGGTGCTCCCAGACCAGGGAAATGAAGGAAACTCTGCAGCCAGAATTACTGTGCCCAGTTCTGGGCACCACAGTTCAAGAAGGACACTGACAAACTGGAACGTGTCCAGAGGAGGGCAACCAAAATGGTCAAAGGCCTGGAAACGATGCCTTATGAGGAACGGCTAAGGGAGCTGGGCATGTTTAGCCTGGAGAAGAGGAGGTTAAGGGGTGATATGATAGCCATGTTCAAATATATAAAAGGATGTCACATAGAGGAGGGAGAAAGGTTGTTTTCTGCTGCTCCAGAGAAGCGGACACGGAGCAATGGATCCAAACTACAAGAAAGAAGATTCCACCTAAACATTAGGAAGAACTTCCTGACAGTAAGAGCTGTTCGACAGTGGAATTTGTTGCCAAGGAGTGTGGTGGAGTCTCCTTCTTTGGAGGTCTTTAAGCAGAGGCTTGACAACCATATGTCGGGAGTGCTCTGATGGTGTTTCCTGCTTGGCAGGGGGTTGGACTCGATGGCCCTTGTGGTCTCTTCCAACTCTATGATTCTATGATTCTATGCTAAAGGCCAAAACCCTGTGGGCGAAATCTCCTCTGAAAACAATAAGAGGTACCACTGAGCAGAGGTTTTTTTCGGGCTGCAGCAACACTGCACACCAGGAGCCCCCAGATCAACCAGCTCGAGAACTAAGGCCCTTTAAGGGAATAGCAGTTGCTACACAAGCCACAAATACAGAATTGGAATCCGCGGATGGAGATTTCAAAGCGGGATGCTTTGGAATTCGCTGGAAAAGGCACCTTTACAGCTTATATTTCCACACTTCCAATTTGCTGCATGTTTTGCCATGCTAAATCTCTGCTGGGGTTCTCTCACCAAAGAATCCTTGCCCCAAACTTGGATCTTGGCTTCCAAGGATTTTCCAGTTAAAAAGGACCTCTGATAATGAATGGGCAGGTGTATTTGGAGGGAAGGTGATTCTTCAAGCATTAAACAGTGTAGGCCTTAGGAGAGTATCAGCACCTTGAATAATTCAGAAATAGACCAGCAACCACTTACATTTATTTGAAAACTGTCAAAAGGTGTTTCTTTCTAGTCATCAGCCTTACATCAATATTCTGAATCAAATGGTAGTTTCTGTGAAGCCTTCAAAGGAATCCCCACTTTTATAATGCATTTTAAAGCCTTATAAAGCACTCTTATAAACCGCACCCAGTGGGGTCACCACCCAGTGGTTGTAAAAGACAATTGAACTTTGGAACATGGAATATACAGTAATACCTCCGTGAACGTCCGCCTTGTCTAGTGTCCATTCCGGTGAACGTCCGCAGCAAACCTGGAAGTAGTGGATCGGGTTACTTCCGGGTTTGCCGCTTGCACATGCGCAGAAGCACTAACTGCCCTCCGTTCTGGAGACCTGGCTGCAAAACGAGGTATGATTTACAGACGTTGTTGGACAACACCGATAATGAGCACCCTGAACGCAGAACTGCCATCATTGCAAGAGAGCTGTGACATTTTAACATTGTTATTGCAGCACTTCAAGAAACTCGAAGAGCAGGCAAGGGACAACTGAAGGAAGAAAAAGGAGGCTACAAATTCTTCTGGAAAGGTCTACCTGAACAAGAACGTTGAATACACGGAGTAGGCTTTGCTATCAAAAACGATCTTGTGAAGCATTTGTCAGAAGTCCCTACCGCCATTAATGAGCGACTTTCAACCCTTTGAGTAAAACTCACCAAAAACCAACAGACTACTGTTCTAAGGGCTTACGCACCAACACTGGATGCCGATGAAGACATTAAAGAATTTTTACTCTCAGCTGGATACCATCCTATCAGATAAGCCTAAGGAAGATAAAATTATCTTCCTGGGTGATTTTAATGCAAGAGTTGGGCGAGATTTTGATCTGTAGTCTGGGACTATTGGGAAAGAAGGAATTGGCAACAGCAACCAGAACGAAGACTTCCGGTTGGTCGCCCAGTAACGGCCATCGGGAACTCTTTCAGCTGAAAGAGCCCCAGCGTGAAGCTCCAAGACTGGCGATCGTGAGCGGCCAATTCCTTCTTGAAAAAAGACTTAAAATTTGGAACTGTAAGTAAAAACAAAGTACTAATTCGAAAAAAGATCAGCGGACAAAAAGGGATTTAACAATGGAGGTCGGTCCCTTTTGTTGGAGGAACTTAGAATCGGTGTGCAAAGACCGAAGCCTTAAAGGAAAAAAGACCTTTGAAACTTTGCAGGCAAAACTTCTTCCCCCTTCTCCAGAGGGAAGAGGGGGAAATTGTTTTAAAGAATATAAACTCTGGGTGACTGCGGTACTGAGTAAAGAGGCTTCTTCATTCCGTAGCGGACCTCCCGGGAGGGAAGGCTAGTCTCCATTGTGACGTCACAGTGGAAGAGGAAACATTTAATCTATGTTCCCACTGACTTTGCTACATTGTATCCTGTGGCTGTCTGGTTATACTTTAAAGTGGCTAAAAGTGTCTTCTCCCTTTAGGATTGACTACAAATATTTTTTAAAAGGGGGGGACTTGGAATTTTCTTCTTCTTCTCAGGCCATTTTTAAAGAACAGGAGGGGTGCTGTCTGGGCTGGCACCTGTGGGACTGGTGGAGGGAATCTGCTTTTCTTTGAGAGCCAGTGTGGTGTAGTGGTTAAGAGCGGTAGTCTCGTAATCTGGGGAACCAGGTTTGAGTCTCCGCTCCTCCACATGCAGCTGCTGGGTGACCTTGGGCCAGTCACACTTCTTTGAAGTCTCTCAGCCCCACTCACCTCACAGAGTGTTTGTTGTGGGGGAGGAAGGGAAAGGAGAATGTTAGCTGCTTTGAGACTCCTCAAAGGGAGTGAAAGGCGGGATATCAAATCCAAACTCTTCTTCTTCTTCTTTCTCACTACACCAAGCTGTGGGACCGACCTTGAAATTCCTAAACCATTATGTGTGCAGACAAAACAAGACGTGGCTCTAAAAATCAACCCTTTGAGGAATCGGTAATGACAATACTGAATGATATTAGAGATGGTTTACAAGACTTCCGGAGGTGGCGCCAACGGTAATGGCGGATTCCCTCTGATTCAGAGGGAACCCGCTCCACAGAAATAGGGTCGGATACCGCTCGGCGCAGCGGGGACCCCTTAAATCACAGGCGGGTGAAGCCTGTGACCCTGGGACTCGGCGGGCACTGTCTGCGCCCCCAATCCGTGAAGGAACCCGGCAACGGGCTCCGGAACGGAGCGGGAAGTGGCGCTATGCTGTGAGTCGTCTGCTTCTTCTGTGGAGTGAAGCCGCGTAGCTGTTGCCGGAGAGCGCTGCCTTTCTTCCTTGACAATTTGGCTTCGAAAATAACGATCCGTGAGTAGGATTACTACGTAATTAAAGGAACTGTACAAAAATTGGAAGTAATTGGCCGAAGCGGAGAGGTATAAAAGGGAAGTCTGCCTCCCGCTCTTGTAGATAGAACAAAGCATTGAACTTGAAAGCGGAAGCTTTAAAAGACGCGCAAAAGGATTACAATCCGATCATCTAACCGGGATTCCCCCCCCCTCAATTTGGGGGAGGAGGGGGGAAGTTTTGAACGTTATTTCCCTAAGAAGAAGTGAGAAAGAGGAGATAAAAACCACCGCTCAAAACCCCTGGAACGGGTTCCCAGTGCCAGTAAAAAGCCTAAGAGAATGTACTGTCTTTGAACGTATTTTGACAGCTAGCTCTGCATCTGAAATACAATTTGGATACAATATTGCTGATAGGTATCTCCTGGTCCTAAAGTAACTGCCTAAGATAGATTGTTATCTTTCTGGTGAACTGGGGGACTAAAGGGAGAAGAAATTACTTTAAGAACTTTATGACTGTTACAGTGTCCCCTAGTGGAATTTGGAACTAGTTACAACTGCAGCTGGCCTGAGGAAATTTCTCACACTGTTTTCCTGGAACTTTCCATTTCAAAACAACTTTGACTCTGACTGTGTGACTGACCTTGAGTTTTATCTAGAGGGGTATGGCAGATGGGAAAGAGAAGATAGACTTGTTACAAGCAACAAGGTCTGGCAGAGTATATCGCACAGACGGTGGATTGCAAAGGAGAGCTTCGACATCTGGCCCCCCTGGAGTTCCAATAGCAACCTCATCGGCACAACCTAAAACTAATGGTATGGCAAGTGACGATGCCCTGGCTCAGGCACTGGCTAAAATTAATGAATCTTTGGATAGAATAAGTAAACAAGTAGCAGAGGCATCGGATAAGATTGATCAAAATACGACAAGTATTAACCAAAATACGGCAAGTATCAATAATTTGGGACAGAAAGTAAATACTAATACAGAAACTATTCAGAAATTATTACAGGAATCTGCTTCGACACGTAAGATTGCCGAAGAGGCTAAAGAAATTGCTACAGCTACGGTTGCAGAGGTTCAAGAGAAGATACCACCGCTACATAAACAACTTGAAGACCATAAGTCAATCCTGTCTATGATCAAGTTGAAGGAGAAACAAGTGTACTTAAGGCACAGAGCCGTACCTGAAGTGGAGAAAGACAACTTAGTTGAATTTCTTACGCAGGAATTCCTAGATTTTTGGAATCCGGATTTGGGGAAAGACAGTTTTAAAATAGTGAATGCTTTTAGACTTGGAAAAGGAGGGGGAAAGAGGGTGAGAGATTGTTTGATCACCCTCCGAACAAAAGAAGAGAGAGATAAGATTTTGAGTTTGCATTTCCAGAAGACACTGGAAATACAACAGTCAAAAGTGGAGATATTTAAGGATATTCCGAAACATCTTCTGGATCTCAGGTTTAACCACAAAGACCTGGTTACCCTGTTGAGAAGTAACGGAATTAACTTTAGGTGGGAATTTCCTCAAGGCCTATCCTTTAGTTATAAAGGAAAGAAGATAAAAATAAGATCGGAAGACGACAAAGACAAATTTTGGAGAGACCACGGAGAAGACCTACAGAAGAAAGTTACAGGAGAGTTAAGAGCAATTGTAAGAGAAACTTTAGACACACCAAGACTATCTCTGGAACTAAAAGACCGCCTGAAAAACGTGATACCACCGACGGAACAGGAAGAGGCACTGGGTGCCGTTGGAGGAAAACCAAAATAATTACATCATGGCCCTGCAACTATTAAGTTGGAATTGTAATGGTCTCAACTCCCCTCAGAAAAGGAAATCTGTGTTTCATTTATTAAAAAAGGAACAATTGGACTTGATTTGCCTACAAGAAACACATATAACAAGATTACACAGGAAATTACTGATAAATAAAAGACTTGGTCAGGAGTTTATTTCATCGGACAAAGTTTAAAAAAGAGGGGTTGTGATTTATGCAAAGGACAGATTATCACCAAAATTTATTTTTAAAGATGACCAAGGAAGATTTGTGGCAATTGAAATTCAAACACAAGGAGAAAAATTTTTGATAGTAGGAATTTACGCACCAAATGAGGGGAAATCTGATTTTTTTAAGAAGTTGCATGAGACTTTGATGGACTATTTGGATTATAACATGATTTTGATGGGAGACATGAATGGAGTGGTATCTACACATATGGACAAGGCACAAAGACAGGTAGTCACTAAGGATGGTAGACTACCGAAAACCTTTTTTGAGATGACAGACAACTTGGACTTAGTTGATATCTGGAGAACAAGGAACCCCATGGCTAAAGAGGGAACCTTCTTTTCTGAAGCCAAAATGACATGGACAAGAATTGACCAAATATGGGTAACTAGAGGAATGGCACCAAAGACAAGAAAGGTGGAAATATGCCCGAAAACTTGCTCCGACCATAATGCTGTCAAGATGGAAATGAAACTAATACCAACTGGCTCCTTCAGATGGAGGATGAATGACACCTTATTTAGAGATGAAGAAGTGTTAAAGAAGGCCCAAAAAACCCTGAGAGACTATTTTGAGATAAATATGAATACCAATGTGGAAAAAAGAGTAATCTGGGACGCAAGTAAAGCGGTTATGAGAGGGTTTCTGATACAACAGAATGCAGTAAAGAAGAGAACTCAAAATGAGAAGAAGGATAAAATATTGGAGAAAATAAAGGAAAGTGAAAAAAGATTGAGAACAAATCCAAAATCTCAAGAGATTCTGAGAGAATTAAAGCTATACCAAGTACAATATATGAAAATGACGAATCAGGAAATAGAATGGAAAATTAAACAAATGAGACAAAAGACATTCGAGTCGGCTAACAAATGTGGGAAACTGTTGGCTTGGCAAATGAAAAAAAGACAAAAACTAAATACAGTTACGAATTTAGAAGTGGAAGGAAGGAATATACAGAACCCAGCTGAGATTAGAAATTGTTTCCAGAGGTACTTTAAACAACTATATACACAAGGGCTACTGAAAGAAACTGATCTAGATCAATTTTTGAAAACAAATGGATTACAAAAATCTCCCAAGAAACTAAATTATTGTTGAACTATTATCTAACTGAACATGAGATAGACGGTGCCATTCAAAACATGCAATTGGGCAAGTCTCCAGGACCGGATGGATTGACCTCTAGATATTATAGATCTTTGAAAGAATGGTTAGTACAACCCTTGAAAGAGATCTGTAATGAAATAATGGAGGGGAAAAGGGCACCAGAGTCGTGGAAAGAAGCTTAGATTACACTTGTACCGAAAACAGAGACTGAAAAGACACAGCTTAAGAACTACCGCCCCATATCATTACTTAATGTGGATTACAAAATTTTTGCAGACATTTTGGCTAAGAGATTTAAAAAGTGTTGATGGAAGAGATTCATAAAGATCAAGCGGGCTTTCTCCCGGGAAGACACTTGTCTGACAATTTGAGGAATATAATTGATATCTTGGAAAAGCTAGAAGTGAACATAAATACTAAAGCAGTTTTGATATTTGTGGACGCGGAGAAAGCTTTTGACAACATTTCTTGGAGTTTTATGAAGAAGAACCTACAGGGTATGGGGGTAGGCCAAGGCTTTGAAAACGGTATAAGTGCAATTTATTCAGAACAAAAGGCTAAATTAATTGTAAATAATGTGGTGATGGAAGAACTTAAGATAGAAAAAGGGACACGACAAGGATGCCCAATTTCCCCACTACTTTTTATTTCGGTCCTGGAGGTTTTGCTGAACATGATTAGAAGGGACCAGTTGGTTAAAGGTATACAGGTCGGAGCTAAACAGTACAAATTGAGAGCATTTGCAGATGATTTAGTATTGACGTTACAGGAGCCAGAATCTAGTACCAAAAGGGTTTTAGAACTGATTCAAGAATTTGGTCAGGTTGCAGGATTTAAATTGAACAAGTTAAAAACTAAGGTTTTAGAGAAAAATCTAACACCAATGGAGAGAGAGAGGTTTCAGAATGTGACAGGTTTAACAGTGGTTAAGAAAGTTAAATATCTGGGGATTAACATGACAGCAAAATGGGAATTTATTTAAAGATAACTATGTAAAATGTTGGGCTGAAGTGTAAAATGATTTATAAATTTGGTCAAATTTGAAGCTTTCACTGCTGGGCAGTATTGCTGCAGTAAAAATGAATGTATTGCCTAGAATGTTGTTTTTATTTCAAACACTGCAAATTCTGGACAAAATGGACTGTTTCAAGAGGTGGCAGAGAGATATTTCTAGATTTGTCTGGCAGGGCAAGAAGCCCAGAATAAAATTTAAAATACTAACAGATGCAAAGGAAAGAGGTGGATTTATTATGAATCAGCAGCTTTTTGCTGGTTGAAAGAATGGCTGCTTCTTGAAAACACTGACATTTTGGATCTAGAAGGTTTTAACAATGTATTTGGATGGCATGCATATTTGTGGTATGATAAGGTCAAAGCACATAAAGCATTTAAAAATCGACTTCCGGGGGGCGGCGCGAACGGCAATGGCGGTCCTCTTCTGAACGGGAGAGGAGGCTCCGCAGACAACGGGTCGTCCGCTACGGCGAAGCGGAGACCCATTTCGGAAAACCCCAGGCAGCAAGAGCCTGGGGTCCTGAGGCTCGGTGGGCGCCTTGAGCGACCCTCCAAGCGCGAAAGGAACCCCGTAAGGGGCTCCGGAGCGTGGAGGGGGGTTGCGGCGCTGAGAGCTGTTTCACAGTCTGCGGAGTGAAGCCGCGCTGCTGCTGCCGGTGAGCGCTGATCCCTTTTCCTGTTAAAATACGGATTCGGAGGAAAAGCAACTTATTCGTGAGTAAAGACAAAATTACTTGAAATTAGAGACTTTAAAAGAAAAACTTTAATTGGTTTGAACTTGGCTGAAAGCGGAGAGACGTGGAAACAGGAAGTCCGTCTTCCGCAGCCATTGAACTTGAAAAAGCAACTAGCGGGAGGCGTGGCGGCTGAAACAAAGAGACTTTAAATTTTACAGATTTAAGCATCTACTGAACCTGCAATTCAAAGTAAAGACTTTAAGTTAAAGACTTGGAATTATTATTTGCACTTGACTTTCCTCCTTTTATTGGATTACAAATTAGAAGGTGAAACCCAGAGTCAGGAGCTGCCTGAGCATTGAGAGACTGAGCTGTCAGTACTGCAGATTTGGATACTGTTATTGGAACTTGCAACAATCTGAGGGTATTGAGACCCTTTAAATTTGAAACATTCTTTTGGAGACAAATAAGCACTGTCTGTAACAAAGTGACCATTTATAAACTCTGCTAAACATTTGTATCTGAAGGTTCTTGGATATTAAATTGGACTTTGAAAGACATTTCAAGCTCCCTCTAGAGGATTGGATTAAAACAGTGACTTTACAGGTACATTTTACTTTCGATTCCCTTGTTGCTTGCTTGCTCTGGGCCTTTCTATTCCCATGGGAAAAACTCAGTGTGACCTTGACTGATTGATAACGTTGGAATGAGTGGCACAAGAAGGAGAGGGAGAGTTAGACAAACAACTTTAACAACTCTAACCTCAGCCTCGCAGACACGTAGATCATCTGTACCTACTTTGCCCTCAGAAGTAGAAGTTGAAGAAGTTGCCTTGTCACAGGCAAAAGAGGGAGAGGGTGAAGCAGAGCAGTTACAATTGGAAGATATGGCCTCAGGAGTATCTGTCTCTGTTCTAGACAAAATCTTTGAAAAATTGGAAGCTTTGGACAAGAAAGTAGATGTGCAAACAGCAAAGATTGACAAAAACACAGAATGTCTAAATAAATTAACCATACAAGTGGTACAGAACACACAAGCAATTGGACAGTTAACGGAGGCCTCAGCAGAAAATCGGAAATTGGCTGAGGATACCAGACAAAAATTGGAAAATTTAGAGCAAGAGGTAAGACCACTCACTAAACAAGTTGGGGAACATCAGATTTACCTTTCTATGATAGAACTGCGAAATCGTGAGAATAATCTGAGGATTAGATCATTACAAGAGGCAGAAGAAGGAAATTTAACTGAGTTTTTGACCAAAGAATTCTCCAAGTTCTGGAATTTGGAAGAAAAAGATTTTAAAATTGTGTCAGCTTTCAGACTTGGAAGATTCATAAAGAAGGAGAGGCCCAGAGACTGTTTGATAACATTGAGATCAAAGGAGGAAAGGGATAAGATTTTGGGCCTACATTACGGAAAGTCACTGGAGGTTTTGGATAGAAGAATTGAAATTTATAAAGATATTCCAAGACAACTGCTGGATCTTAGAGCCGCCTATTCTGAACTTGCTAAACTACTAAGGAGCAACGCAATTCCATTCAGGTGGGAATTCCCCAAGGAATATCTTTCACCTTTAGAGGGAGAAAGGTCAAAGTTAGAACATTGGAAGAGAGGGACAAATTTTTGGCTACATACGGAGAGGACCTTCAAAAAGGAATTGAATTACCTTCTGGGCCTGGGGCAACGCCAACATCAACACCAGCACCTGGGGAACCTAAAGATCCAGAGAAGATACCACCCCTGGAGAAATAACCAGATTGAACCAGGATGTCTCTGCAACTGCTGAGTTGGAATATTAATGGTTGTAACATTCCGGAAAAAAAGGAAGAAAATATTTCACATATTAAAAAAAGAACAATTGGACATTATTTGTCTACAAGAAACACATGTGACGAGGCTCCACAGAAAAGTGTTAATAAATAAAAGATTGGGCCAGGAATTTGTATCGTCGGACAAAGTCAAGAAGAGAGGCGTGGTGATATATGCAAAAGAGAGCCTGTCACCTAAATTTTTATTCAAAGATGAACATGGAAGAATTTTGGCTATTGAGATACAATATCAAGGAGAGAAACTGTTGATATTAGGAATTTATGCACCTAATGAAGGGAAATCGGAATTTTACAAGAAGCTGCAGGAGACAATGCTGGACTATCTGGATTACAACAACATCATAATGATGGGAGATATGAATGGGGTCGTATCAACTAACATGGACAAGTCACAAAGTCAAAATGTTACAAAAGACGGCAGACTACCTAAAACCTTTTTTGAAATGACTGACAATATGGACCTGATTGACATTTGGAGGACAAAGAACCCACTAGGAAGAGAAGGAACATTTTTTCTGAAGCCCAACTGACCTGGACAAGAATCGACCAAATATGGATTTCTAGAGGCCTGGCACCTAAGGTCAGAAAAGTGGAAATCTGCCCAAAGACCTGTTCCGACCATAATGCAGTAAAGATGGATATGACACTACTACCAACTGGATCCTTTAGATGGAAGATGAATGACAATTTGTTCAGAGATCAGGAAATTACCAAGAGGGCCCAAAAGCTTTGAAGGACTATTTTGAGATAAATATGAATACTACGGTGGAAAAAAGAATCGTCTGGGATGCAAGCAAAGCTGTAATGAGGGGATTCTTGATACAACAGAATGCAGTAAAGAAAAGAACACAAAATGAGAAAAAGATAAGATCTTGGATAAAATAAAAGAATTAGAGAAGAAATTAAGAGTGAATCCGAAGTCACAGCCAACTCTGAGAGAAATTAAACTTTATCAGACACAATATTCTAAATTGATAAATCAGGAAATTGAATGGAAGGTTAAATTAATGAAACAAAAACGTTTGAGTCGGCGAATAAATGTGGAAAATTGCTAGCTTGGCAGTTGAAGAGAAGACAAAGATTAAATACGGTTACAAATTTAGAAGTCGATGGAAAAAACATTCAGAATCCAGTGGATATTAGAAAGTGTTTCCAGAGATATTTTAAAAAACTATACACTCAAGGGCCGCAAGACGAAGTTGAGATTAAACAATTTTTGGCAAAAAATGGACTATCTAAACTGTCACAAGAAAATAGGACAATCCTGAATTCTAAAATAACACGACAGGAGATTGAACAAGCCATCCAGAACATGCAACTCGGCAAATCTCCAGGGCCAGATGGGCTGACCTCCAAGTACTATAAGACATTAAAAGACTATTTGATACAACCTTTGATGGAGGTCAGCAATGAAATTATGGAGGGGAAGAGGGCACCGGAGTCGTGGAAGGAAGCGTTCATCACATTAATACCAAAGTCGGAAGCTGAAAAGACACAACTTAAGAACTACCGTCCCATCTCCCTTTTAAATGTGGATTACAAAATATTTGCAGACATTTTGGCAAGTAGATTTAAAAAAGTTTTAAATGAAGTAATCCATAAGGACCAGGCCGGCTTTCTCCCAGGTAGACATCTGTTTGCTAATACAAGGAACATCATTGACATTTTGGAACTTTTGCAAACAGATATAAATACAAAAGCAGTTTTAATTTTTATAGATGCGGAGAAGGCCTTTGACAATATCTCCTGGAAATTTATGAAGGGAAATTTAAAAGAGATGGGAGTGGGACGGGGTTTTGAGAATGGGATTGAGGCGATATATTCAGAACAGAAAGCTAAATTGATAGTTAATAATGTGGTTACAGAAGAGTTCAAAATTGAAAAAGGGACACGACAAGGTTGCCCTATTTCCCTTTGTTATTTATCTCGGTTCTGGAAGTGCTATTGAACATGATTAGAGGGGATCGGTTGGTGGAAGGAATTCAGGTCGGTCAGAAACAATATAAATTAAAAGCTTTTGCAGATGACCTGGTTTTGACCCTGCAGAAGCCAGAGCCCAGTACGAAAAGAGTATTACAACTGATAAATGACTTTGGTCGGGTGGCTGGATTTAAATTAAATAAACAGAAAACTAAGGTTTTGGGGAAAAATTTGACAGATACAGAGTCAGAACGGTTTCAGAATGAGACGGAACTTAATGTGGTTAAAAAGTAAAATACCTAGGGGTAAACATAACAGTAAAAAATCTAAGTCTATTTAAGGATAACTATGAAAAATGCTGGTCAGAAATTAAGAGAGACTTAGATAGTTGGTCAAAACTGAAACTTTCTTTGTTAGGCCGAATTGCTGCTATTAAGATGAATGTATTGCCAAGGATGTTGTTTTTATTTCAAACACTTCAGGTTTTGGACAAAACGGAGTGCTTTCAGAAGTGGCAGAGAGACATTTCTAAGTTTGTCTGGCAGGGCAAAAAGCCCAGAATTAAGTTTAAGATATTAACTGATGCAAAACAAAGAGGGGGCTTTGCCCTGCCAGACTTAAAGTTGTATTATGAAGCCGCAGCGTTCTGCTGGCTAAAAGACTGGCTACTTCTTGAGGACACTGATGTGTTGGATCTGGAAGGGTTTAACAATGCCTTTGGATGGCATGCATATTTATGGTATGACAAGGTTAAAGCAAATAAGGCCTTTAAGAACCATATTGTCAGAAAATCATTGTTTAATGTCTGGATAAAATATAAAGACTTGCTGGAAAATAAAACACCAAGGTGGCTTTCACCTCTGGAAGCTAAGGCCCGAAAAAGACCCAATATGGAGGCTAGATGGCCAAAATATTGGGAAATACTAGAAAAGGATGGAGACAATTGGAAATTGCAGAGTTTGGAGAAAATGAAAGACAAAGTGCGAGATTGGTTACACTACGCTCAGATTAAAGAAGTTTTTAAAAATGATAAGAAATTAGGGTTCCAGGTGGAGAAATCGAAACTAGAAACAGAATTGTTAGAACCAAAGATTAAGGTACTTTCAAGGATGTATAACTTGCTGTTGGAATGGAATACACAAGATGAAACGGTTAAATCGGCTATGATAAGGTGGGCACAGGACATTGGGTATAATATTATGTTTGAGGACTGGGTAAGGTTGTGGAGTAATGGATTGAAATTCACTGCATGTAACGCTTTGAAAGAAAATGTAATGAAAATGATTTATAGATGGTATATGACCCCAGTCAAACTTGCAAAAATTTACCACCTGTCTGATAATAAGTGTTGGAAATGTAAAGAGTGTGAGGGAACGTTCTTCCACCTCTGGTGGACTTGCCCTAAAGTGAAGGCGTTCTGGGAAATGATTTATAATGAATTGAAAAAGGTATTTAAATATACCTTCACTAAGAAACCAGAGGCTTTCCTTTTGGGTATTGTCGGCCAAGGGGTGGCAAAGAAGGACCAGACATTTTTTATGTATGCAACAACAGCAGCAAGGATACTTCTCGCAAAACATTGGAAAACTCAAGATCTACCCACACTGGAAGAATGGCAGATGCAACTGATAGACTACATGGAACTGGCTGAAATGACCGGCAGAATTCGTGACCTGGGAGAAGAGAGGATGGAGGAGGATTGGAAGAAATTTAAGAACTATCTACAAAAATATTGTGATTTGAGTGAATGCTAAATAAGATGCTAGATTAAAATAACTGAGCACCACTTAACTTAGAAGTTTTTAAGAAAACAAGTAAGACTGTGAAAGTTTAACTCTTTTTGAGAATTATAAGACTATGAAATATTGAAGGGATATAAGAATTCAAATAAGATGATAAATTGCTGACAAAATGTTATAACGATGAAAGTGGGAGCGGGAGATGTGAGGAAGTCCAAAGAAAATGTGAAACTATGTTAAGACAAATGTTATATTGTTTATTATGTTTATTCTTATTGTAAAACCCAATAAATTGCTTTAAAAAAAAATAAAAATCATATTGTCAGGAAAGCTTTGTTTAATGTTTGGATAAGATATAAGGACTTATTGGAAAATAAAACCTCAAGGTGGCTGTCACCGATGGAAGCGGAAGCCTTGAAAAAGCTCAATACGGAGGTCAAATGGCCGAAATATTGGGAAATTTTAGAACAAGATGGAGATAGATTGAAACTGCAGAGTTTTGAAAAACTAAAAAATAAAGTGCGAGACTGGCTTCATTATTATCAGATAATGGAGGCATACAATTTGGACAAGAAAATTGGCTTCCAGGTGGAAAAATCAAAATTAGAAACAGAACTCTTTGAACCCAAAACTAAGAATTTGTCAAGAATGTATAACTTGCTGCTGAAATGGAATACTCAGGATGAAACGGTGAAATCTGCTATGATTAAATGGGCACAAGATGTTGGACATAATATTATGTTTGCTGACTGGGAACAGTTATGGACCAGGTATGAAGTTTACGGCATGTAATGCCCTAAGAGAGAATATTATGAAAATGATATACAGGTGGTACATAACCCCAGTCAAGCTTGCAAAAATCTACCATTTGCCCGATAATAAATGTTGGAAATGTAAAGAAACTGAAGGTACATTTTTTCACCTTTGGTGGACGTGCCCAAAGATTAAGGCTTTCTGGGAGATGATATATAATGAATTAAAAAAGGTATTTAAATATACCTTCTTGAAGAAACCAGAGGCCTTTCTCCTGGGCATAGTCGGCCAATCGGTGTTAAAAAGGGATAGAACTTTCTTTATGTATGCTACAACAGCAGCAAGAATACTCATCGCAAAGTATTGGAAGACACAAGAGCTACCCACACTGGAGGAATGGCAGATGAAAATGATGGACTACATGGAATTGGCGGAAATGACTGGCAGAATCTGTGACCAGGGAGAAGAGTCGGTGGAAGAAGATTGGAAGAAATTTAAAGATTATTTACAGAAATATTGCAAAATTAATGAATGTTAGAGTGATGTTGGATTGAAGTTAAGTGGCTTCTAGCTGTACAGGCTTTAAAGTTATAAATATATCAAGATTAAGGATTAGGATTAAAAAGGTTAAAAGAATGGAAAAATTGGTTTTTAATAGGTAAAAACTTAATGTTATAATATATTAAGATTAAGGATTGGGATTAAAAAAAGGAGGGAAAGAAATTGCTGGACTAACAAATTGAATTGGAATACAAAAGAGGGAGGTATGAGGACGTCTGGGAAACAAGTAAATTTAAAAGAAGTGATGAAAAGACGGAATTGTTTTTAACTGTTTTTTCTTTTTTCTTTTTGTATTTTGCATTGTGTATTTTTCTTTTTATTCTTAAATTTTTCTTTTTATTAATGTGACTCTTTTTCTGTGAAACTTTAATAAATATCATTTTAAAAAAAAGATATTAGAGATGGTTTAAATTGTAATACAGCAAGCATAGAAAAGTTGGACAAAAGGTTTGAATTGAAAGAAGTTAAAACTGAGATCACTACACATGATACAAGGTTGGCACAGCCTGAGAAAGTTAGAGTGTCAGACTTGGAAAGATTACAATATGAAAATGCCAGTTCAATTGCTTTTCTTCAAATGAAGGAAAAGTAATCCTGCTTGAGATTGAGGGGGGGTCCCTCAACTGGATGAGGAGAAACGCAGGGAGTCTTTGACGGATTATTTTGTGGAATGCTGGGACTTGAAAAAGGAGGAAGTTGAGTCGTGGATAGAGACAGCTTATAGATTTGGGCCTAAAAAGGATACAAAAATAATTTATGACTGTATAGTGGTCGTTAAGACTAAGGAACAAAGAGACATTATTTTGGGACACCATTACAAAAAAGGCCTAAAAATACAGGACAAATCTATTGTGCTCTTTAAAGAGGTTCCTCGGCAATTCCTGAGTTTGAGATCAAATTATACAGAATTGACAAACATCTTGAGGAGCAAAAACATCTTTTTTAGGTGGGAATTCCCAGAGGGTCTATCTTTTAGATTTGAAGGAAGAAAGCAAAGGATCAAGACTATGGGAGAGAAGGACAGATTTCTGCAAAAGTACGCTAATTGGGACTGCAAAGCCCACAGCTGCCGGAGGCAGAAGCGGCAACCCCTTAATTCGACATCATGGCTTTGAGAATTTATTCTTGGAACGTTAACGGTTTAAATTCTCCTTTAAAAAGGAGACAGGTTTATCATGTATTGGAAAAACAGAATTTGGATGTAATTTGTTTACAGGAAACCCATATCACGAGATTACATATAAAATTTTTAATAAATAAAAGACTTGGACAAGAATTCATCTCGGACAAAGTGAAAAAAGAGGAGTGGTTTTTTAATATCTTTTAGGAAAAGGAAAAATGGAATCCAAAATTGATTTTTAAAGATGAAGAGGGACGACACATAGCAGTGGAAATTACAGCACAAGGCGAAAAATATTTGTTACTAGGAATCTACGCACCTAATGATGGTAAAGGGGAATTCTTTAAGAACTTGGAATCAAGTCTTTTGGAATACTTGGATAACAAATTAATTTTAATGGGAGACTTGAATGGAGTTGCATCTACCTTGATGGATAGGACTCAGAGACAAAAGAATTTGAATACTGGCAGATTGCCTAAGATTTTTTTTTATATATAACTGACAAATTTGATTTGTCAGACATATGGAGAGTCAGAAATCCAACTGAAAAAGACTTCACTTTTTTCGCAGATGCAAACCAATCATTTTCAAGAATTGACTACTTATGGATATCCAGAGACTTGGTTCCTAAAGTATTAAAAACCAAAATTTGCCCTAAAACTTGCTCCGATCATAATGCAGTTTTTATGGATCTGAAAATGTTCGTACAGGGTTCCTTCAGATGGAGAATGAATGATGATTTGCTGAGAAGTACTCCAATTGTAAATAAAACCCCCAAAGCCCTAAAGGATTATTTTGAACTCAACATGAATCAGGGAATGGAAACAAGGGTTATTTTGGATGTCAGCAAAGCAGTAATAAGAGGATTTCTCATTCAACAAAACTCAATTAGGAAAAAGACGCAGAATGAGAAAAAAGATAAAATTATGGAGCAATTAAAAGATAAAGAGAAGAAGCTTAGAGGAAATCCAAAGAATTTGCAGATACAAAAGGAAATTAAAGCCCTTCAGATTCAATATTTACAGATTATAAATCAAGAAAGAGAATGGAAGTTAAAGAGGATGAGACAAAGGAACTTTGAATCTTCAAATAAATGTGGGAAACATCTAGCCTGGCAATTAAAAAAGAGACAAAAGCAAAGTACTATCACTCTTAAGGACCATCTACTTTCGGAATTCCCTGATAACATCGAGGAACACTGGACCAAGCTTAAAAACATCCATTACTGAAGCCTGTGAACAAACTATTGGATACCAAACCAAGAAACACCAGGTTTGGCTTGATGAGAATGACAGTGAGATCGAACGCATTATTGACAAGAAAAGGAAGGTCTTTTAGATCTGGCAAAGAGATAGAAACTACGGCTCTAAGAAAAAAACCCTATGCAAACGCTATGGCTGAGGTTCAACGAAGAACCAGAGAAAAAAAGCTGAAGAGATCCAGAACTTAGTCAACATTCATGATGCACAGAGTTTCTTTAAAGCCACAAAGACCATCTACGGGCCAATAAATCATGGCATATGCCCCCTACACTCAACAGATGGTACCACACTTCTAAAAGATAAAGAAGCGATTGCACTGCGCTGGAAAGAACAGTACCAGCATCTCCCAAACCCCAACTCCCCTGTAGCTGCTGAGGTCCTCTCATAAATTCTGCAAAAACAAATTAGAGATGAGCTTGCAGTGTCTCCAAATCTGGGAGAGCTGTGTACCAAATGAAAAACTACAAAGCCAGAAGACCTAATGGGATACCTGCCGAAGTCTTCAAAGTGGGCGGAATTGAACTTACACAACAACTTCATAAGCTCATTGAATAGATGGCCATCTGTCATGGATGCTTTAGCCGAGTTTCCTACATTGGAGGAGGTTGCACTAGAAAGATGACCTTGAAGTCCCTTCCAGCTCCATGATTCTATGTTTTTCTGCTTCGACAATATTTCATTATGTTCCTATCATTTTAAGTAATGGAATTTTGTATAAATTATAAACATAATATGTTCTATTTACAAACAAAACATTTAAATAGCTCCCTTTCTACTGGTAGGGTGGGGAGGCATGGGCATAGCCAGAGATTTTGTTAGGGGGCAGAACCTCAGAAGGGGGCCACAGTTGGGAAAAGGTTTGGAAACACTGGTCTACATTGAACCTACACATTAAAACAATACAGTCTAACATAAAATATACCACTAGGCAGTCAAATTTAGCTATCAAATATAGGGTAATATTCCACAAATATTTGCATATAACAGAACACCTAGAATTTATTTATTTACTTAAAAATGTCTTTGACATCACCATTGAGATAATTTTTGGTGTCGATTCATTGTGACCCTAACTAGAGCTGTAATGACCATGTGCCATCTTAATGCACCCCTGCAGGACAGCTGTATCCCTTTGTAGATGGGATCGCTTTAGGAAGAAAGTGGTAGTCACTTATCACTGTTAGTCTGTACTCATGTTTGTAGCCAGGATTTTTCTTGGGGGCAGGCTTTTATTAGGGGGGCAGAACCTCAGATTTGCATTTGCAAAACACCCCCTTGGCTACGCCCATGTCTGTATTGAACATGGAAATCTTTCAGTTTTCATGTGGTTGTGTTAATGGAAAGAACAGGCCCTGTGGGTAACTAGAGGTAGAAAACCTGTTTTTCCTGTGACTCAAATCAGAGGATACCTCAAAATGTTCAGAAGATTGTGACTAAGCCATGGACTCCCATACACCCTCCTCCCCATAGGTACAACACAGTTTGTCATGACACCTGAATCAATATACAATGGTTTTCTCTTGACCTCTGCCACAGAATCAGCTTGATGCGAATTTTGAGTTTATAATTCAGACGTCACAGCAAACAGTGGGAAGGTGTTCAACAAGACACAGAGATGAACAAGGTGGGAGTGAACTATCCTAATTCACAATCCTCTGAATATGATTTGGAAACAAGTCTTCATTTGTAAAGTATAGGACTTAGCTGATCATTGCTAATGGCCACACCAGGCCACAGCTGCAAGCTAGTTGACTGATGGGGAGCAAGAAAACTTCTCTGACACTTGCAGTACTTACTGCCCAAGCTGTTTTCTTCCTTGGCAGCTGCAACCAAGCCTTCTGTTAGTGGGCCATCCTCCATACATGGCATCCTTCACAGAGGTCTAAGCCTAATCAGATACACTTCTACCTAAAACTTCATCTGAACTTGGATATTTACCTTGGCACAAATGCATAACTCTGAACACCTGTCCTTTTATATGACACACCTCTTCTAACCTAAAGCTGATCCTCAACCACTGCTAAAAATTTGAGTGGGGCAGAATGTGAACAAAAAGGTCTTTTTCCTCATGTCTTGTCTCATTTAGTCCATATTGTGTGTGAATATATATAAAATGAGAATTTGCTGTCATTCTGAAAGCAGTAAAGGCTCCCTGTTGAATTCTCTTCCTGCTATGCAATTGGTTGTAGGTGGGCTTTATCATTGTTCTCGCCAATATAGCTCCTTTTTTGAGCCCACCAGTTACATACTTGTAGTTTTTTCTTATAAGGGCTTACTGGATCATTAACAACTGGATGATAGCTTTGGACCCAGGTCAGATGTGACACAGGAATTCTGAGAACAGGTACCAATACAATATCTGTTTTTGTGCCCTGTGGGGCAAATAGCAGCAGGGAGCTGGAAGGAGATGGATTTTAATCAAGAATATGATGTGGAGTAAAGTGCTGTGCCCCCAATTTCCCCTCATCTGGCTGCTATCAACACTTTAAATGAATTGCAGGTGTTCTTTTGTGTTAAGACAGGCCTTCTTCCAGGCTTCCCCTTGGCAGCTGGTTGGCTACTGCGGTAAGAGGATGCTGGACTAGATGGGAGTTCAGCCTGATCCGGCAGATCTGTTACGTTTTGCATCAGATTTGACTTTTAATATTTTCCCCTGTCGTGTTTCTTCCACTGTTCCACCTCTTCCTTCGTCTCCATCTTTTCCAGTTTTTTCTCCTTTTTCCTTCACTTTCTTTTCTTTTTTGGATGGGTGGAATTAGATCACTTTCACGAGTTGTGGTGTGCTGCTGTTGGAGCATTAATAGACTCTCAAGTATCTTCTCTTTTTCCTATCTGTTT